ATAGCTGTAACCGTATAGCTGTAACTGTATAGCCGATAACTGTAACTGTATAGCTGTAACTGTATTGCCGATAACTGTCACTGTATAATATATTGTATAGACGATAACTTTAATTGTATAACAGTAAATAACTGTATAGCAGATGTATGTAACTTTAAAGCTGTAGCTGTATAGCAAATAGCTGTAACCGTATAGATGTAACAGTATAGACGATATTTGTAACCGTATAGTTGTTACTGTATAGCTGATAGCTCTAACTGTATAGCCGATAGATTAACTGCTTAGCTGTAACTGTATAGCCGATAACTGTAACTCTGTAGCCGATGGATGTAACGGCATATCTGATACCGTACATTAACGTTCTAGCTGATATATGCAACGGTATAGCTGATATATGTAACGGTATAGCTGATATATGCAACGGTATAGCTGATATCTGCAACGGTATAGCTGATATATGCAACGGTATAGCTGATATCTGTAACGGTATAGTTGATATATGCAACGGTATAGCTGATATATGCAACGGTATAGCTGATATATGCAACGGTATAGCTGATATCTGTAACGGTATAGCTGATATCTGTAACGGTATAGTTGATATATGCAACGGTATAGCTGATATCTGTAACGGTATAGCTGATATATTTAACGGTATAGTTGATATATGTAACGGTATAGTTGATATATGTAACGGTATAGCTGATATATGCAACGGTATAGTTGATATATGTAACGGTATAGCTGATATATGTAACGGTATAGCTGATATATGTAACGGTTTAGCTGATATATGTAACGGTATAGCTGATATATGTAACGGTATAGTTGATATATGCAACGGTATAGTTGATATATGTAACGGTATAGCTGATATCTGTAACGGTATAGTTGATATATGCAACGGTATAGCTGATATCTGTAACGGTATAGTTGATATATGTAACGGTATAGTTGATATATGTAACGGTATAGCTGATATATGTAACGGTATAGTTGATATATGTAACGGTATAGCTGATATATGCAACGGTATAGCTGATATTTTTAACGGTATAGCTGATATATGTAACGGTATAGCTGATATATGTAACGGTATAACTGATATATGTAACGGTATAGTTGATATATGTAACGGTATAGCTGATATATGTAACGGTATAGATGATATATGCAACGGTATAGCTGATATATATGCAACGGTATAGTTGATATATGCAACGGTACAGCTGATATCTGTAACGGTATAGCTGATATATGCAACGGTATAGCTGATATATGCAACGGTATAGTTGATATATGTAACGGTATAGCTGATATATGTAATGGTATAGCTGATATATGCAACGGTATAGTTGATATATGTAACTGTATAGCTGATATATGTAACGGTATAGCTGATATATGCAACGGTATAGTTGATATATGCAACGGTATAGCTTATATCTTATTTTGAAGATGAATCCCCCAAAATATATATTTAGTATAAAATGGTTGTGAAATGTCTGTTGATTTTTTTTTTTTTAAAAACGACATTGTAATCCTCATATAGGCCTAGAAACGGTGGTTTTTATGGAGGTGTGAACTATTAACACATCTGAAATGAACAGTGCAATGTGATTCAGTCTACCGTGAATGCCTAAATGATGCGAGTGAATGTATAAATGCTGCTGGTGAATGTATAAATGCTGCTGGTGAATGTATAAATGCTGCTGGTGAATGTATAAATGCTGCTGGTGAATGTATAAATGCTGCTGGTGAATGTATAAATGCTGCTGGTTGTATAGCCGATAACTGTAACTCTGTAGCCGATGGATGTAACGGCATATCTGATACCGTACATTAACGTTCTAGCTGATATATGCAACGGTATAGCTGATATATGTAACGGTATAGCTGATATATGCCACGGTATAGCTGATATCTGCAACGGTATAGCTGATATCTGCAACGGTATAGCTGATATATGCAACGGTATAGCTGATATCTGTAACGGTATAGTTGATATATGTAACGGTATAGCTGATATATGTAACGGTATAGCTGATATATGCAACGGTATATTTGATATATGTAACGGTATAGCTGATATATGTAACGGTATAGCTGATATATGCAACGGTATAGCTTATATCTTATTTTGAAGATGAATCCCCAGAATATTTATTTAGTATAAAATGGTTGTGAAATGTCTGTTGATTTTTTTTTTTTTTAAAAACGACATTGTAATCCTCATATAGGCCTAGAAACGGTGGTTTTTATGGAGGTGTGAACTATTAACACATCTGAAATGAACAGTGCAATGTGATTCAGTCTACCGTGAATGCCTAAATGATGCGAGTGAATGTATAAATGCTGCTGGTGAATGTATAAATGCTGCTGGTGAATGTATAAATGCTGCTGGTGAATGTATAAATGCTGCTGGTGAATGTATAAATGCTGCTGGTGAATGTATAAATGCTGCTGGTGAATGTATAAATGCTGCTGGTGAATGTATAAATGCTGCTGGTGAATGTATAAATGCTGCTGGTGAATGTATAAATGCTGCTGGTGAATGTATAAATGCTGCTGGTGAATGTATAAATGCTGCTGGTGAATGTATAAATGCTGCTGGTGAATGTATAAATGCTGCTGGTGAATGTATAAATGCTGCTGGTGAATGTATAAATGCTGCTGGTGAATGTATAAATGCTGCTCGTGAATGTATAAATGCTGCTGGTGAATGTATAAATGCTGCTAGTGAATGTATAAATGCTGCTTTTGAATGTTTAAATGCTGCTAGTGAATGTATAAATGCTGCTAGTGACAGGGATTTCATTGTAAATATGGTTTAACGTTGACCTCACAGCTAAACTTTTGACATTTGATTCTCCTCAGTTTCTATAACCTTGACAACACCGAGCACAGCACCATCAACAGGTTCCTGTCGGGCCTGGTAGGCAAAGCGCTGATGGAGCTGGAGATGTCTTACTGCCTGCAAGTTGAAGAGGTAACCACACTTACTAGGGCATGGGTTTTTCAACAGTCAAACTCACAGATGGGTGGGATGGTGGGCGGGATGGTGGGCGGGCGGTTAGTTAGTCAAGTTATAAATTAGACACAGATGGGGGTCAAAAGTCACAAAAAGTGGGTGGGTGAGGTCCATGAATGGTCAGTCAAATGAAGGCAGAATAATGTCAGATGGTCAAACGGAGAGCGATAGTAAAGGGATTTTTCCAATTTTCTTTAATAAAATTGAATCTGTGAATTCAGGTGTTGAGTGTTTATTAATAATTTTTGGTTGATTGTGAAGAAATCCACGTGTGTGTGTGTGTACAGTGGCCATTTAAAATAACATGGGCAATACTTCTTTTCTATCATTTGCAATTGATCACAACATTGTACCGATTGAGCTGTCCTGTTCTTCACTCTCTGTATCGGAAATCTGCTTTTAAACATCAATGTTTTGTTCCAGGACAACCGCACCATCACAGCTCTGACCCTGGGTCGAATAGCGTCCTACTACTATCTGAAGCACGGCTCCGTGCGCACCTTCCGCGACACAATGAAAGCTGAGTGCACGATCCCCGAATTGATAGACATTCTATCGGTAAGTACATCGTGCCTGCATCGACAAAAGAAACCTGTTGCTATTGCAGTCTTGTGAGTTGTCACACAATGCAACTGCTGGATTTGACGATAAAAAAGTTATTACATATGGTAGAGGAAAACAAGAAAGTCAGGATTTTTTTCTCAAAACTGATTTCAGGAATAAAATCTGCATCAATTTTCTGTAACTTTAATCATTGCAGCTGCCAACCTTGATTGCATATTTAACTGATTTTATTTGTTGGTATTCTTATAGATATTTAAAAAAAAAAAATTATTTCAATGCTTAACATGATAGACGATGGTCGTGGACATAAATAGATAATATTATTAATTCCTGTTTCCCAGAATGCCTCCGAATATGCAGAACTTCCCGTCCGTCACAACGAAGATCAACTTAACAGGTTTACTATATTTTTCAGATCATTCAAAATACTTTTTTTTTCAGTCTAACTTTATTTTAGCTGTCTTATTACCACATTTAGGCATACCGGTGCCAAGTGTCATTTAGGCCCATACATGAACTTGTCCCGATCCCTAACACTATTACCAAAGGGATGACCAAATTATTTAATATTATCTCCCTTCCTCTTCAAGTTAGTGTCAGTTGTTCAAAAATTCACTGCTCATCTGTTGTTTTTTTTAATATTTTTTTTTTTCATTTCACTTTCACCTAATTCCAAGTCTAATACTGAAAACTATTTGTACATTCAACCAAATTTAGATTTTTATCCTGTTATTAATGTGAAACCATGTTATGGATCAGCATATTCTTACAATACTTACGTTGAAATCAGTAGTTTGTGCATTATCCAAAGCCCCCAAGCCATCCATTCCCCAGCTGAAAGCCACCCAAGTCATCCTCTCTCCAGTGCTAAAGCCACCTCAGCATTCACTCAATAGCCCTAAAACCACCCCAGTCATCCACTGCCCAATTTTCAAGCCACCCCACCCATCCACACCCCACTCCTAAAGCCACCCCACCATTCACTCCCAGACCCGGTCCTCAATTCAAAACTCCCTGCGACCTTCCAATTTCCCCCATTCACAAAAGTCTTTGCTATGACATCTACCAGTGAGCTTGCCAACCAAGTTCCCCTGGAAGTTAACAGGACATCCCTGGACTCTGCTCACACCAAGGCCAACCTCCTGTTACAGGCGTACTTCTCTCACCTGGCGCTGCCTTCATCTGATTACAACACAGACACAAAATCTGTCTTAGACCAGGCAATTCGTGTCCTCCAGGTAAGTCATTGGTTGTGCAATACCACTGTCTAATGTCCTATATCCCTACAGTCCCCTAGCGTAGCCTAAGATCTTGAGACCTGACCCCTTTAACTTTGATATGCATAAAACATTTGCTGCAATTTAACAAATGGAAATAAAGATACCCTGCACAATTAAAGAAGTCAACTTGACTTACACCCCTTTGCTCATTAGTCTTCTGAACTTACAGATGATGTTAAATGCTAAGATTATATTAACAACAATGGTTAATGTCTGTCATTTATATGATAATAAGTTTGTGACATTGATAGTTATCTTGCTTTGTAAATGTATTTGATTATCAATGTGCTTTGATGGGTTTACAGGCAATGCTGGATGTGTCTGCTGACCAGGGGTGGTTGGTGACTTCCCTTAATGTAATCCTCATCATTCAGATGGTGGTGCAGGGCCAATGGTGGTATGACTCGACTCTGTTGACACTACCCAATGTCCAGACTTATCACCTGGCCTGTTTCAGGTAAGACAGGTGTTCAGATCGAGGCATGGTACTCAACAATACATATTTTAGAACAGTTTTTTTTTCAGTTCAGAAAAATTCCACTAAAAAGCATAATATTCCAATTGTTGGAGCACCATCAATGACTGGCTTTAACCATTCTTTGTTGCTCATATGAGTGGGGAGAAATGCATTGCCAATTTATTATTATTCTTTATGTCATTTATCGCAATAAACCAGTAGCTGAAACTTTCATTGCCCTTCAATACTGCAGTCAGTTAACTTTCAACATACTCTCAAAATGATTGGCTGTCCCTGAAATGATTGGCTGTTCCTGAAATGATTGGCTGTTCCTGAAATGATTGGCTGTTCCTGATGCTCTGTGTTAAAAGTGATGAAGTGTAAACTGCTGTGTTTTACCAACAGTTGGAACAAATGCTTCTCCAAAATCATCACACATCGTATTGGTTTTCATGGTGCCGACTCTGAAAACATCACACATCACACTTCACACATCACACATCACACGTCACACATCACACTTCACACATCATATTACTAAATATTAGTTATCATAAATGTACAGGTTCAATGAGACCTGACTTAAGTAAATAAAAGTGTGTTCCTTAAATTTGTTATAAAAATGAAAACTCTATTCAAACCCATTATAGGGCAGACACTAGTTACACTAGCATACCAGCCTGTCATTGTTGGAATTATAAAGGGTTTTTAAAATGATTATCTGGTAGAGCGATTCGAGAATTTCATTCACGGTTTGTGTTAAAAACCCATTTTATCATTAATGGAGTTGTTGTAGTAGCTCTAGTAGTAGTTGTTTTAGTAGTTGTAGTTGGGCTTATTCAAGGAAAACTATTTTAAACCAAAGGGTTTTGCCTTCAGAATGACATTTATTATCATATTCTCCCAAATGAATGCTTTTTTTGGCATTCTTATTATTATATTTGGTGGAATGTGATTTTGAGATTTACATGCTTTTTTTAAAGCTAAGAGATGTCATAGGAATTTTAACATTACATGTCCTTTTTGAATTATTTTCCATAGAATATCTTGAAAATTTTATTATTAAAATGTTTATTATTGGTTCAACGTGGGGTCGGTGAGGGAGAATTTACGGGCTTATGGGATGGGTGGCCGGAAAAAGTTTGAGAACCACTGTTGTACATGATAGTGCGTGTTTTCAGTGTTCTTCTGTCTTGTACATGAAATATTGTGTTTTCAATTTCCTTGTATCTTGTACATGAAATATCATGTTGTCAATGTCCTTGTATCTTTTACATGAAATATTGTGTTGTCAATGTCCTTGTATCTTGTACATGAAATATTGTGTTTTCATTGTCCTTGTATCTTGTACATGAAATATTGTGTTTTCAATGTCCTTGTATCTTGTACATGAAATATTGTGTTTTCAATGTCCTTGTATCTTGTACATTACAGATTGAGAGACCAACAAGCTAGGCCTAAAGGTTTCCCCGACCTCAAGGCACCCATTCAGTCACTGCCAACGTTGATGGAAGTCTGTGATGGAAAGATTGAATACCTGCACTACATGTTGGAGGGGGAAATGTCTGCACAGAAAATTGATCAGGTAATGACTATCTTTATTCAAGAAATGGACACTTAAGCTGCTGTTAAGAAATAACCTCCTCAAAGCTTCTGTTAAGAAATATAATCACTGTGTATTGAATTATTTTCTGTAACCACTTTGTATTGAATACAGATAGTCTTCTGTACCAACTGTGTATTGGATGGTCTTCTGTAACCATTTAATTTTGAATGATCTTCTGTATCCACTGTGTATTGAATGATCTTCTGTACCCACTGTCTATTGAATGGTCTTCTGTACCCACTGTGTAATAAATGATCTTCTGTAACCATTTAATATTGAATGATCTTCTGTACCCACTGTGTATTGAATGATCTTCTGTACCCACTGTCTATTAAATGGTCTTCTGTACCCACTGTGTAATAAATGATCTTCTGTAACCATTTAATATTGAATGATCTTCCGTAACCACTGAGTAGTGAATGGTCTTCTGTAAGTACTGTGTGCTTAACGTTAGCTTACAATATGCCATAAACTGATTGGATGTATACCATGATAACTTTGTTACACACTTTTTTGAAGAAAATGGCTGACATGTCATGACCTAATTGTATTGCTCTGATTTGACTGTTGCAGGTGTATGAGGTGCTGTGTCGAATGCCTCAGATTGAAGTTGGTGTTGAGGTCAAAGGTTGGATGGAAGGGGAAAAACAGAGTGTTACAAGACAAGCCAAAATACAACATAGAGGTACATTGACAGATAATATCACTAGGTGATCTCCCCTATACCATTGAGGTACAATGACAGATAAAATCACTAGGTGATCTCCCCTACACCATAGCTGTACAATGACAGGTAATATCACTAGGTGATCTCCCCTGCACCATAGAGGTACAAGGACAGATAATATCTCTAGGTGATCAACCCTACAACATAGAGGTACAATGACAGATCATATCACTAGGTGATCTCCCCTACACCATAGAAGTACAATTATAGATAATATCACTAGGTGATCTCCCCTACACCATATAGGTACAATGACAAATAACATCACTAGGTGATCTCCCCTACACCATAGAGGTACAAAGACAGATAATATCAATAGGTGATATCCCTGGATGCTGATCACAGATTGAGTTACCCATTCTCCCTGACCTTTCTAATATTTCTCATTATTTATATTTCTGATAATTCTAATTGACCTTTTTATTACTTCTTTTTGACCTTTCTAATACTTTTTTTGACCTTTCTAATACTTCTCCTTCACCTTTCTATTACTTCTCCTTCACCTTTGTAATACTTCTAAAAAAATCTTAACATGTGTGGTTCTGTGTATATCAATCTTAACGTTTTTGGTTCTATCTGAACTACATGCATTAATATTTCTACTTACAGGTGGTGTCAGACCAGAATCTGATTGGCTGCCTGTCCACGCTGACCAGGAGTATGTACTTAGCATCTCGCTGAGAAGAATCAACAAAACTAGGGTAACGTTAGCATTCTGTTATCAAAATATGTCACGTAACATTTTAAAACTTTTTTGATATGAATGTTTAATTTGATCCATCATATGCCTCATCATGAGCTGATAATTTTTTACAATACAAGTTCAAAATGGATCAGAAATGTAAGAATCATTTTATCATAATCTTTCGATATAGTTGTTTTCACATTTTTCACAATATTTGTTATGCAGAGATACGACAGCAAGGCCCACTCACTGAGCTTTCCCAAACCCAAAGACGAAGGTTGGATCATTGTGGTGGGGAACATTGAAACAAAGGAAGTTGTAGCTCTCAAACGTGTCAGCTATGTCAAGGGATGCACCAATGCCCAGATTGCACTTTACACACCAGAGAACCAGGGGCGTGTCATCTACACTGTGTACCTGATGAGTGATGCATACCTAGGGCTAGACCAACAATATGATGTGTGCTTGAATGTGATTGAATCCAGCACAGAAGCTCAGGTCAACTCTGAGTTGATTGAAGGCGATGATACCAAGTGGTAGTGTTGAGTCCTCTTGTTGCTAAGAAACCGAATGGTTACTATGGTCTTGGTATGCAAACAAATATCTCATGGATGGCGTATGCTTGGAGGACTGAGAGATAATCATAAATCTCATCAGGGGACCAGAGTTGCAGACTGTGTTGCTAGAGAAGTTATATGTAATCAATTTCAGAAATATCAGGGTGAATTTTAAGATTTAAGTTCTCTGTCCTTGTTGCTAAGCAACACAATGGCAGTTGTTGCATGAAAGGACTCTTTAATTGGTTGTATTTCACTGATCTCATCATTGTTAGGATTAAAGTGATGCTCTTGAATTAAATAAAGCTCACAACTTAGACATTGTCATGAGTTACATGTTTAGCTTTTGATGAGGTTGATTCATTGCATGTTATTAATAATGAATGATAAAGAGTGTGTGTACATAGTACATTATTGAATTTGTAATAACAATTTTATTCTCTGTTAGAACCTGTTGCTATGATGAAAATATAAATATTTATGGTATTTTCTCAAATCTTGTCTTTATTTGTCTTACCTCAAGTTTTTCTCATATTTTCTTTTAATTTCATTGATTTAATTACAGTGCTGTAAATTTGGTCTTGAAATCAATCATTTCTTGAATTGAAATAAACTTTGTCTTTCATCAAATTTTATAATGTGTTTAAGGTTTGCCTTTAATTTTTCAAAATTCATTCAAGTGATGAAGTTGATAAAAAGCCTATGAACCAGAAGTATAATAAACTCTTTAATTCAAAGTGATCACCTCAGTTCCATTGCATGACAGCAAGTGTAGACATGTGCTACGAGTCACTTTAAAATCAATAAATCTGATCAATTAAAATATGGCGGAGAGTGCAGTGCCAGAGAAAAGTGGCACCATGGGCGAAATCGAAAATGCCTCATATTTAGAAAAAGTACCCCTACATAATGGTCAAGTAAAAACAAATTGGTGCAAGGGGCTAGGGCCCACTTTAAACCCCCTTTCCACGGCCCTGGTCCTCAGTGTGTGTCTTGAGACATGTCAGGTTGACTGATACACTTATCTGGCATCTTTTTGAGTCTTACCATTCATTTTTTCTCATAGCAAAATTATCTTTTTTGGCATATGACAACCGTCAAAAGACAAATCAGCTGCAGACATAAGGAGTGTCACAAGACAAATCAGCTACAGACATAAGGAGTGTCACAAGACAAATCAGCTACAGACATAAGGAGTGTCACAAGACAAATCAGCTACAGACATAATGTGTGTCACAAGACAAATCAGCTACAGACATAAGGAGTGTCACAAGACAAATCAGCTACAGACATAATGTGTGTCACAAGACAAATCAGCTACAGACATAAGGATTGTCCATCATCTTGGAGAAACAAAATGAGAACTCCGTTCAAACGAAAAGCCAAGAATCTGTTCAACTCACACTCAGGAACTCAACAGTTATTCATACCACACAATTATTTGACAAAAGTTGTGCTAACAGACTAACTTTAAGGGGCAATGAAAAAGTCAGACTGAATACTTATGTATAATGAATGAAAAAAACAAATCTCCATTTATTTGAATCAATAAAAAATGTCTTATCTAAATTTCCCACCCTATTTTTTAAATACTGATTACTGTTTGAGACAGATCTGGAATTTCTACTAATGATGTGCTGTCTTGTGAGTTGACAGTATTTGAAAATATGTGACACATGGCATGTCAAGTCTTCTTTTTACCAAAACATGTTCAATAAATCGATTATTTAATACTTTTCCTTGATTAGTGCCGATAAATCAATTATTGGTCACTTATTTATTTTCCTCATGAAATTCAAAAACTTTGTGAAAATAAGTTCTCAGAAATGTTCATTAAACATACATTAGTGATATGGACATCAAAAATAAGTTTTACAAGATGGAAAAATTCCTGCAATAGAATTAACAAAAATTGTTTAAGTATTTCTCATTAAAGGTCTGTTGCTCATTTATTAGTTCATTTCGTAATTTTAGTTTTTTGAATATGGACCGTGTTATCATGCTTGGGAGTAATTTACTTGTCAGAACTGTTTTGTAATACATGCATGCATATTTAAGTTTGTTGTAGGTATAATGTGACATTAAATTATTACATAAGTTGGTTCATTTTGTTTTTTAAATTTGTCTCAATGTTGGATAAATAAAAATTACATTGTATTTAATTTACATAGTGAATTTGCTAGAATAATCTAGAAGAATTGGTTCTTAAATTATGTGTTTTAAATTATGTCATGTTGAGTGCTAAGTTTAGGAAGTACAAGTCCCAATTGTTAGATTATCATTTTAAGCAATAGCCTAAATTTAAAGGACACGAAGAACAAATGAAAAAGTAAAACTTTAATTTGATTTTAACAGTTTGAAATGATTTCATAAAATAGATTTCTTTATTAATTTAAATATCCTTGAATTTAATAGTCATAATAAAAATATGTTTAGTAAACATAATATACATATCACAAGTTTGCAGGTTAAATAATAAGCACATTATCATTAAATAATATATGAGTAAATATGACAACTAATAATTCTCTATTTATGGTGTAATGGCGAGGTCAGTAGCTTGCAAAATTAGATTCTTAAAAATACCACAAGATCGTTTGATGCATAACGTTTTCTTTTCTTTTACAAAATCAGTCTCAACTTAAATATGGTGTCATAAACCTGCATTGTAAAAGGGGTCGGGACACTAGAATATTAATTTAGTTCAAGAGCTTTCAAAAAGTGTGTGGCCACGTACCGGGAAATGGGTAGCCTCGTAAATTTACAGGTCTTAAATTAACTGCCATGTATTGTGGCATCTCCAGTAATGAACAACTTAAAAAGCTGACCAAGCTGATCATTCCCTATCTGGAAAAAACCTGAAATGACTTCCCTGGTTACTTGAATGCATATTTTGTTCATTAACTTCTTCAGAAGTTTTAAAGTTCACTCATTGCCGCCGCCATTTTTTTGTTTTTGTTGAGAATTTATAATCTGTTTCTATTATTTATTGGCATTTAAATAATGGAGCTTATTTTTTAAAAACATTTTATTACATAGTTCAATTAATAATTATTTAAAGCAACATTATCACAAGGTTATAAATATAATAATCTCAGCAGCAGTAAATAAGTGTGTTCAAAATGTTTTAAATAAGTTACGTTAAGAAATAATTTGTTTCAAAATGGATTGAAAAAGAATTATTATCAATATTGGCATTTCAAAACAACATTTAACTTTAACTTAAAAGCAATGAATTAATAATCAGCCGTTATTTGTCAGTTGCCTCAATATCTTCTTTCAACAGTCTGACATGTCTTTTGTCTGATTATCTCCTCCTGCTATGTCACCTTTCTGATGTTCAATTGTTCGCATATGTTTGATATCTTGAAGAGATAATTGTAGAATTGTGGACACAAGATCGGACTTAGAAAGTTTATGTTTTTTAGGCAGCGTTGTCTGGTTGCCAGATTTCTCCAAATCTCCAGATTGCGAAGATTTTGCCAGTGAATATTTCTTCTCTACATCTTCACCTTGATTAGCCATTTCATTATTTGGAAATTGTTTCAAAGTACTATTTGGAACATGTGCTTCAGCACTTCTATTCTGGCCCGCGTCCTGTCCCACCCCTGTGACACCTGTGTTAGAAACATCCGGAACCGACTCACTGGAGGCATCTAAAGAAGTCAATCCTAAGGATACAAACATTTTCTGCTCTTCAGGACTGAGCAGCATATGATCATGGGGTTGATTGTAATGTTTTAAATCAATATCTTTCTTTGTTTTATCTCCCTTTTGTTCTTCTCCTGTTGTTTTACCCCCCTTTGGTTTCTCTCCCTTTGGTTTATCTCTCCTTGGTTCATCTCTTTTGATTTTGTGATGTTTTTTCAGCCCAGCATCATGTTTAATTTTTATCTCTGTTGCAGAGGATTCAAGGGTCTCTGGCTCATCGACTCCAAAATGACAATTAGTTTCCGTGAGATTAATTTGACTGTTTGTTGTTAGTCTTCTTTGATCATGATCTTCGTGTATGTTTTTGTCCTGACTGGAATTTAAGTAATTTCTCCCATTCCCTTGTCCTGACCCTGTCTTACTATCACTGACAGTGCTGGAACTGAGGCTGTTTTCCATTGAGACTTCGTTTGGTTTCTGGTTTCTTAACTGTCGCATTCGTTCAATTTCAGCTTCAACAATACCAGAGCCCGACTGGTGAATCTCATTATAAATAGTTACCGATGATGCTTGCTCTTTATCGGCCTTTTCATTCAGGTCTGACTCTTTTTCCGATTCTTGCTGTGCATGAGACCTTGAACTGTGCTTGCCTTCAGTTGTATCACCTGACCTTTGTTTATTTTTAGACTCATCATCAGTCATTGCCAACACTGCAGCGTCCAACGTTTTCTTGTCATTACCTTCATAATGAGGTTTGGACTTGGGAGTTGATGTTGGCTGTTTGAAATCATCCATGGCGATAGGATCAAATGGGCTATCATGATAATCAGTTTTTTCCTGTTGTTCTCTGTTGGTCATTTGATGATAGAGTGACAGAAACAGAGCCTTAAGGCCAACTTTTCCATTGTATGTGAATTTACGCCTCTTCCTGTCAACAATATATTGAACATGAAATAAAAGTTTCTTGTTAAAAGCTCAAACAGTTTACAATGATCTAGTTACCAAACTGAGAAATTGTTTCGAAATAAAAATGAGAAAAAAAGACAACACTTAAATCCAAACTAAAAATGGACATGAAATGATAATAAAAATTGCAATTCCCTGCTGATGTCTTTAAGTTATTCTCAAACCTTTGACGTGACATTTTAATAATTGTGATTCTGACAGGGATTGTAAATAGGTTTTTCATTTCACTCCCCAAACTGTAAACAGTTTTTTCTTAATGCTACTAAAATCAGGGACATAATAATTTAAGGGTAAATGCGATAACATAGACTCGCATGTAGATATAACAAAGACTGAATCACATATAGTCATAACATTGACTGAATCTCATATAGACATAACATAGAATGACTCACATGTTGACATAACATAGACTGACTCACATATAGACATAACTTTGACTCACATAGAGACATAATTTAGACTGACTCACATATAACATAACACAGACTGGTTCAAATGTAAACATAACATAGACTAACTAACATAATGACATGTCATAGCCTCACATATAGACCAAACAT